AAAGTAACGAATTACAAATACTCACGTTACTGTAATTAAGTAGTTTTTTTTCAGAAATTGTACTTTTTTGAGAGTAAGTTTAAAATTGTGTAATTTTACTTTTACTTGAGTACCTTTTTAAGTGATGTTTCGGTACTTTTTCTCCGCTATTTTCCTTCTGTTTGTGGCCGTTACTCGTTACATGCTTGTTTTAATTTTATTTTTATCCATCAACGTGATTGGATCGAGTAATCGGTCTCGTGACTGTCATCAAATCAAATTAAGCATAGAAAACTTTAACCGTCTATTCCTGCTTTTACTCGTGACTGCTGTGGAAGTGCATTCATCACGCATCAATTCAATCCAGATATCAGCATCTTCCTCTAATATGCTAAGGTACATTTCTGCTTAATATGATATTTATATAGGCTGGCCTGTCTACATGGCCTAACATTTGGTCTGAGGTTGGGGGAATTGCGAGACGAGTTCATAATGCGGTGAATTCCCGCTCCCATTTACTTCACAATCACAGGAGAGATGCGCGTCACGATCTGTGCACTGCCGCGTCTCGCGCTCGCCATGCCGCCAGATTCAGAACCAGTGCACCATGTCGTTAACTTGAACTGCATTTCTTAATAAGAAATTAGCACAGCTCGTTAATAAACAGCGTTTTTTGATTGATCCATTATATGATCCGTCTTCATTTGGCAAGTGCACTTGCGCAAAAACATTTTTCATGCTGAACTTTTTTTTTTTTTTTTTTTTTTTTGTGGATGCTGCTGATAAAACAGCTTAGCCGAGACTTCAGAGACAAAGTGTGTTTGTTTCTTTTGTAAAAGTTTCCTGGATATAACTTCCCTATTTAATGCACGATTTTCCTTACAAATTATATTATCAGCATTACAATGTGAGTAAATGTAGCCGTGTAAAATGTAAGGGATGATGCCACCCTTCTAGAACAATGCATTTACGTTTAAATTGTAACATTTTTAATAGCATGGAATAAAAGTGTGTAATTAGTGTTAGCTCACTATCTTAGCCTTTTTCAGTGCATTAGTTGAGGTAATATGATAATATTAGTGATTCTCATTTATCAAAACACTAACATTGGTAACGGTTTGGAGAGAAATTGGGTATTTTTTTTTTTTTTTTTTTTATTTAACCCATCTCTTGGTGTGTGATGCTGAACTATCATATGAGTTTCTAAAGGTTTTTGAATTCTTTGCTGAATTTTGATATTTTATGTGCAACAATAACATGCTCAGGCCCAGTGGCTTTTCGCCTAATTTTAAATGCTTTTCCCCCAAATAATATAATTTAAATGGTGATGAGTGTACTGATTTGATGCATTTTAAAAAGATGGATGATAGATATTCTTCAATCTTTCTTACAAAGAACAAAATATAATGTGAATTCCAGTATGTGCATTTTTTTAAATTTATAAATTGTAGAGCACAGTGTTTATTATAAGGGTTAGAATCCGCACCTCAGTACTCACTACTCACTACTCTTGAGTACTTTTAAATAAGCTACTTTTTTACTCTTACTCAAGTAGTTTTTTGGACAAGTAGTTTTTACTCTACTCACACTACATTTTTTGGAATGTAATAGTACTTTTACTTGAGTATGTTTTTTCAGTACTCTTTCCACCACTGCGTCCTTCCTACATGATTAAAAAGTATTAAAAAGTCTTAAATCAATTTTCTTAAAAATAAGGCCTTAAAAAGTATTAAATTGTCTTAAATTCAGATTGGATAGGTCTTAAATATGTTTGTCATGTCACCGCAAAGATGCAGGCAAAGGCAATCGTTCTGCCAGCCAGGTCCAATATTTTCTACAAGGTAACGTAACCTGTGTTAGAGACACGCGGGTGCGATCGAACAGTGGAGACATGAAAAACATCCGTCATTTTGTTCATACAGGACAACATTCAGTCTGCAAAGTGTTTACTTATATTTGTGTAGGCCTATACTCGCATTAAAACACAGTTTTAAAAGCAAAACATATTTATCCAACCCCTGTCTGTGTGTTGTAACATCTGTCAGAGTTTGAAGTCTGCCCAGATGAAGAATAGGAAAGACAGTACAAACGAACTGGTAGTTCCACGAGTCCTTATATAGTTGCTTTCTTTCAGTTAAGCACACTCTTCACATACATGTCGAAAGAGCGGATGTTAACAAGTTAAAGAAAACACTCTGTAAAACGCTACAAATCAAAGTGGAAGTAAACGCATTATAATAAAACAAACCCGCGATTGATCGGTCATCTTCCTCTTTGCGCGAGCATTCTCAATCTCACTGCGCGTGCACGCTCACATAACATCACGCATACACGAACGCCATAGAAGAAGTCATCTTAAAGGCATATCAACATGTCATGAACACTACTGAACACTAGGTGGCCGTTACAGAGTTCCATCTTTTGGACATTCATCATATCGCATTGGTTTTCATTTCTTGTCCTCAAAACAGGGCACTAATCTGTTTATTTTTAAGTGTTTGTGGTATTATTTTATATGGAAATCAATTATTTATAATTCTTATGATGAGAATAAAGTTAGGGTTAATTAAAATTAAGGAAAATAAATATATTGATCTGAAATATAGCAAATTAATTTTAATTTATTAATTAAAAGGTACAATAACCAAACATATCTCAGTCTTTTTTTCTATATTTTTATTTGTTTAATTAACAAACGAATTATATGAAACTATTATCAGTACACTATAAATAAACTGGTTAAATGCCTTTAGTAAATTAAATCTAAGCCTTTATTAATATACTTTATTATTTAAAACATACAAGGCTTAAGACATTTATAAAAATGCCTTCTATATTTCTTTTTACTCCACTGTACTTCACCACAGGCGACCGCACGTACGCAATTGACAATTGGTTATTGTCATTTCACCATATTTTTGAACAGACAGTGTGTTTACTTGGAAATATTACTGTGTATTTTCAGTTTTAATTTATATTTCCATCGTAAGTTTGGTCTTAAATTTAATTTAGAAGTGGTATTAAAAAGTCTTAAATTTAAATTGGTTATACCTGTAGCCACCCTGATTAAGTTCTGTAGTTGACAACTGCATGCAAAGTAGCTGACTTACTGCGTTGCTCTGATTGGTTGTAGGTTTACCGATTATCCAATTGAGTGCAGAGTTGTTGTTTTTCCTGGTTCAGTTAAGACACGCCTCATAATCAAAGCCATACGGAGGAGTTTCAGACTCGTATTCCGACAGCAATATGAGTATGACGAAGTCAGGCTACTAATCTGTTAACATGGGAGCCGAAATAAAAACGGACATGCCACGCTTACGAGACGCTTTCGCCACGCAGCCAGTGTGTCTCCGGCCTAAGCCCTCGCCATTAAAACTTGTTTATTCTGAGGCTACACGGTTTTTTTTTTAGGTTTTTAATTATTTTTTAAATTTTTTTATGAAAGTGACAGTTTATAAAAAACAACAACTGGAAAATCTCTGGAAATATTCTTTTGTGCCACTCGTCTTCCTTTATGTGAAACGCCAGAGGACGACATTATCTGAAAATATCGCTTTCCAAGCATCGTTATTTTTCATTATGATTAAGGTTAGGGTTAATAATCTTGTATAAGGAAAATTGAGGACTTTGTTCAAGTCCAGTGAACAAATGTTTATGTGAGTTTTATGACCTTATTTCAGTGATTTTAAACCTGTTAATTGAAACAAACAGTTCAAAAGAATGAAAATGATTTAAACTATATGAGGATAACTATAAAACTTTCTAGAGGATATGCAGGTATTATTTAAATATTAATGACTGAAAAAGTACTTCACAAAATTGTGTGAACCCTGATTTTTTTCTGTTGATTATTTTGTCATGAAGTTTTTTAGGAGGCTTTGTCTACCTCGTCTGTTTAGAGAAAACATCACTGGTTCATTCACACTACAGGACACACAGGGGAAAGTGTCTGCAAGATGCTCTAGTTATGAGACACCTTTTCATACACAGTGAATCAGCGAATGAGAAAGCAAAACCTGAGTATGTTGACTTGACCATATATTTCACTAAACTGTATTTTATCTTTTAATTGTTGTGAAATTGTGTAATTACTCACAGGGCTTTTCTGCAGCATCTCACAGCTGGAATGAGTCTCTCGTAGTCTGCTGATGATGAAGTGAACCTCTTTGGGTCGAACTCGTCCAGCACCTTCTCTGAAATCAGCAGTGTGTAGACCAGCACTGTGCACATTGAAAAGGAGAGTTTTCTTCCTGGATCTTCATCTGGACCGAGGTATCTCTGGATTTCCTCATATAATGAATTATCTTTCAGCTCAAGTAAGCAGTAAAATAGGTTGACTGAAGCCTCCTCTGAGATGTACTGTTCTAGTCTTTGTTTAATGTATTCAGTTGTTCGTCTGATGCTCTCTGTGGTGTCTTCAGTGTCTGTCTCGTCTTCAGTGTCTGTGATCAGGCCTTTGAGCAGTTTCTGACTGGATTCCAGTGAAATGCCCATCAGAAACCGCAGGAAGAGGTCCAGATGTCCTCTCTTACTCTTCATGGCTTTACCAACAGCCTCTTGCAGTAGCTCATGTAATGTGATATCCTCTTTGGGCTCATGAAAGAAGAATTGAAGCTCCTGCATGTTCTTGTTCAGGTAACAGAGGAACACATGCACTGCAGCAAGAAACTCTTGGACACTCAGATGTGTAAAGCAGAAGATCTTTGACTCATGAAGTCCGTCTTCCTCCTTAAAGATCTCAGCGATCATTCCTGTGAACTCAGAGTCTTTACTCACATCAATACCACATGATTTCAGATCTTTCTCATAGAACACAACGTTTTCCTCCTTCAGCTGTTCAAACGCTAGCTTGGCCAACTTTAATATAATGTTTCTGTTTGACTGTAAGAGCTTTGTTTGTTCTCTTTCTGTTTTTCTATCGTACTTCTGGCTCTTCATGTTCATCTGTATCTTCAGGAAGTGAATGTACATTTCAGTGAGTGTTGTGCTGATATTCTCTGTATTGTTCCTGATGAGAATATTGTGAAGGACTTTGGCCGTGATCCAGCAGAAGACGGGAATGTGGCACATGATGTAGAGAGTACGAGACGTCTTAATGTGTGAGATGATTCTGGAGGACACAGTCTCATCTGGGAATCTCTTTCTGAAGTATTCCTCCTTCTGCGGGTCAGTGAATCCTCTCACCTCTGTGAACAAACCCACATGCCGAGGAGGGATCTGATTGGCTGCTGCTGGTCGTGAGGTCACCCAGACGAGAGCTGATGGAAGCAGAGTCCCTTTGACCAGACTTGTAAACAGCACGTCTACAGATGACTCTTTCTCAACGGTGTTTAATGATCTATTATTTTCAAAATCCAAAGGCAACCGACTCTCGTCAAGTCCATCAAATATAAATGCTAGCTTGCATCCCTTATATAACTTTGATTCCTCCAGGTCCTTCAGTTCAGAATAAAATTCCAGCAGAAGCTTATGGAGACTAAACTCTTCATCTTTCATCAAATTAATCTCTCTGAATGGGAGCAGGAACACACAGTCTATATTCTGATTGGCTTTTCCTTCAGCCCAGTCCAGGATGAACTTCTGCACAGAGACAGTTTTTCCAATGCCAGCGACGCCCTTTGTCAGCACAATCTTTTTCTCATCGGTTTTCTTCAATTTGGTAAAAATATCATTGCATTTGATTGGTTTGTCCTGTGTTTGTTTGTTCTTGAAAGCATCATCAATCTTCAGAACCTCATGTTCCTGATTGACCTCTTCCATATCTCCCTCTGTGATGAACAGGTCTGTGTAAACCGCTTTGAGATCTGCTGTAGTTTTCCTGTTGCCCTCAGAAATACATTTAGCTTTCTTCTCCATGCTGGTTTTGTGTTTTTGCAAAAACTTTTGCAAATCCTCTGTTTTAAAAATAACGTAAGCAAATTAAATTACAGGCAAAAAGAGTTTTATTTTTAGCCCACACTTTTTATTACGTGCCTTTACTATGTGCTGTAATTTAATACAAGACTATGGATTTACTGTGACTACACTTTGTTCGGGCCGATTCCCACATTTACTGCTAATGAGCTGAGTTATGGGTTTGCTGAAGGCTTAGGATTATAGGGGTTAGAGTTAGCTTTTGGGTCAAGGGTTGGGTTACAGTTAGGGCTAATGTTAACTGTAACTACAAATGTGAATTAAACGCCCCACAACTTTATCAAAAGTTTTTGACAGTTTTCTGAATACAAAATACATCCAACATGTCTAAATCCTTTAAGACCTCTATAGGGAAGAAATGATGGTTGCACCTTTTAATTGTTTCTCTGTTTTCTCCTTCGCCAAGGTTTTTTGTGGCTCTGTGAGGAAAGAGAAAATGAGAACATTTATACAAATGAAAAGAGACAATAGATACAGTTACACAGAAGAATAAAGTGACAAGTACCTACAGCATTTCTGAACAATATGGCTACACACTAAACTTCCTTATGAATAGGATTCACAGCAAGCATTATTTCATAGATGATTGTTAATAGTGTGCCTCAGAAAGTCCTGTTACTATATTATATAATTATATTATATTTTTACTATATAAATTATGTTATGGTCATTATTGTATATACACCATATTACCATTTCCCGCAGTGCTTGAGCTGTAGTTGAAGGTCACTGGGGCTGTGATGGTGTTTCCAGCAAATACAGGAGCGTTTACAGTTGCTCCTGTTTCAGCTTTCACGTCAACACTGCTGCTCATCTGGACTGGAATACAGAAAGAGAGATTAATTACACTGCTTAAATCACAACTTTAACATTTCTGATATTATTTTTCTTTTATCACTATTACCTCCTTTTTTGTTGTCAGAAGCCATTGTCCTTTACCGACTTACTGCTGTTGGACAAGAACACAAATGTCTTTAATGGATTGTATGTTATCAGACACTTTCCAAAAATACAAAAAAAGAGTATAAGTCCTGTCAATCAATCGATTTAAAAATATACTAATTATTATTATTATTGGTCATTTTTTAGGTAATCGCGATAAACGGTAAAGTTTTAAATATATTTTGATATCGTAATACTTTACATTAAATCTCCAAAATAATATAGAAACAGCATAAAAACATGAATATTTGCACAGATATTGCTGTAGCTTTAGATTTGAAATAGGCCTATAGGTAGATAATCTTCAGGATATGTGGCCACATGAAAATGACAAAGGACCAACAAATATAAGTGGGGTTTGTATTTATTCCTTATAATTAGTTAGGAGTTTATGTTTCTTTTACTGTTTATAGGGCAGAAGACTCACAATAAAACAAAATACAGTGCCAGTATATCTTTGGATCACACAGCAAATTGTTCACCCCAAAATAAAGGAAATATAAAAGTAAAATTTGTCGCCTCTTATTGTGTGCAATGATAAAGAACAATGCAAATAAGGCAACATCACCTATAACAATAATACGGTAGTGGTACTTCTGGAAAGAAAACAAAACATCTTAGAACTGCATAAACAAGTTAGACTGAAATAACACTCACTAAATACACCTGAAATGACATAAACATACAACTACCCTGTGGTGTAGTCTGATAGGCAGGTATACGCCATGTTTTGAATGAATAAACTAGTGGACTAGTGTCTGTGAATATTAAAGCTCAAAGAGACTGTAATTGTTCTACACGTCTCTGGGAATGAGCACTCAATGCGGCTCTACTACACACACACTGAAGCGTAGCAAACGTGACACTCGTTGTGTTTTCAGCTTTTCACTGTATGAGGACATGATGTAGGCTTGTTGACACATGCGATCAAGCAAAACTTATGTACTCCCGCTATAAACATTCGCCACCCCAGAAATGATCCCTGACCCTGCTTGCCACCCCGTGATTTGTTTTCTAGATCTGCCCCTGCCTCAAGTGCAAATTTCATCATTCAACTTCAGATTTGTATTTTACAAGTTTTCACATTGGAGCTGTGAGTGTAAATTTTAGTGTACAAGTACAAATATTTATTGTACAAGTTCTCAAATTCACATCTACGTGCTCTCGAGTTTTGCTCTACCTTCATCCTCTCGTGCCACACATCCATTTTTTCACGCAAAGAAAAATCGCAGAGCAAAGAGGACACTGAGACCGACAGACTACAGAGCAGGTTACTATTGATGAAACAAACATCAGCTCTCAGGTTATGTCCATTTTATTACGCAATTCAGACAAAAAAATACCGTTTTGGAGCTTACAGCCTTAATGTGACGTGACAGATCGCTGCACTTCAGTTCAGGTAAACCGATCATCTGTTACTTTTTATAAAGAAACACAACTTACACAACTTTGCCTCTTACATAATATCGATCAATCAGTGTTTTTCAACCCCGGAAAGAGGTCAATAAAACAGCCGGAGAACAATTATGTCCCAGAGCGTTACATTTACCTCAGGAAAGCCATTTAATGACCTGCACGTTATTGGCTAGAAAAATAGCAGGAATATTTTGCTAAATATGTGCACTATATTACATATTTATTATGTTTACTTATCATTACTTGTTATTGTAATGAAAACCGCATTATATTTCATTTCTCTGTTTACAGCATTATGTGAGATATATTTTTTCTTGAGAAAAATTAACATGCAGGCTATTTACTGTAGCCTACCTAATATTTATCCAAATGAGTTAATATTGAATCAAGATTGAAATCAAATCCAAGAATTCAATTGAAATACCATGTAAAAATTGTTTACGAAATGTTTTGACAATCACAATTACACATTGTGATGCAAGTTGTTGTTTTTTTTAGATACCCCCAATCTCTTGTGCAATTAAAGTATTGTGCTAATACCGTACACCGTGCTAAAAGCTCAATCAATTAATCACAGTGTAGCAGTATGGGTTATGACCCCTCCTACTTGTTTGTGGTTTGGCCAATGGCCTGTCACCTGTTGCGTATAAGAGCACAAACTACCAGTTTATTGATGTGTGTAATTTTCTGGGGCTGTGACGTCACCCTCGCGCCCTGCTGCTTTCCTGGCCGGAGCGCACTGTTGAATGGGTTGCCCGTAAACACCGCTGAAGCTGCTATCTAATGGCTGTGATGTCTACTGGGTGTGGGTGCTTCCCATAGAGTCAGGTGTGGACTATTGAGACAGTGTACGACCTATCTGCGTTCCGGCCAATGAGTTTTGTCAGAGACATTTGGCTCTATCCACCGCATAGTTTGCGATGTGATCCATGTTTTACTGCACGCGTTGAGGGAAATAGCGGCGTTCCGAATGAGTATTACATGCTGTGCCTCATCCTAAAGTGCTGATTGCTCCAACGTCCTCCTTCATCAACGACTGCTGTTCTGTTTCCACTGATTTCCCCGCGTCTTGCACGGGACTGAAACGTTTCTCATGACTTTATTTTTAAAGTGAACTTTCTGGGCTTAGGCTCAGTAAGGAAGTGTGATATGCTGTGATATTGGTTTCCATGTTCGAGTATGTTTTGAATCTGTATTTTTATTAAGTTGGCTTGAGAAAGCCAACTTACTGAAATCCTATTTAAACTTATTATTATTATTCTTCTTACTCAAAATTTTCTGACTCTAACTCCTCCTAGAGCTTTAACTCCACAAACTCCAAACTCGGGTCAGACCTTCAGACTGTTCTGACTTAGTGTGCTATATCTTTTTAGACTGATTCGACTTTCAGATTTCTTAAAAATTAATATTAAAAATCATAAAAATCCCATTGACTTTCATTGCAGCATGGTCAAATTGAGCCAAGACTACGGTGGCCCAATAGCGTACAACAAAAACTCAAATCTAAATTCCCTGAAGCCCTAGACTCAATTAAACTACCATTCTATATGTACTAATGATCTATCTATCTATCTATCTATCTATCTATCTATCTATCTATCTATCTATCTGTCTATCTATCTATCTATCTATCTATCTATCTATCTATCTATCTATCTATCTATCTATCTATCTATCTTTCTTTCTAACTAATCTATCCATCTTTCTTTCTAACAAATCTATCCATCTTTCTTTCTAACAAATCTATCCATCTTTCTTTCTAACAAATCTATCCATCTTTCTTTCTAACTAACTAATCTATCCATCTTTCTTTCTACCTAATCTATCCATCTTTCTTTCTACCTAATCTATCCATCTTTCTTTCTAACAAATCTATCCATCTTTCTTTCTAACAAATCTATCCATCTTTCTTTCTAACTAATCTATCCATCTTTCTTTCTAACTAACTAATCTAACCATCTTTCTTTCTAACAAATCTATCCATCTTTCTTTCTAACTAACTAATCTATCCATCTTTCTTTCTAACAAATCTATCCATCTTTCTTTCTAAACTACTAATCTATCCATCTTTCTTTCTACCTAATCTATCCATCTTTCTTTCTACCTAATCTATCCATCTTTCTTTCTACCTAATCTATCCATCTTTCTTTCTACCTAATCTATCCATCTTTCTTTCTAACAAATCTATCCATCTTTCTTTCTAACTAACTAATCTATCCATCTTTCTTTCTACCTAATCTATCCATCTTTCTTTCTACCTAATCTATCCATCTTTCTTTCTAACAAATCTATCCATCTTTCTTTCTAACTAATCTATCCATCTTTCTTTCTAACAAATCTATCCATCTTTCTTTCTAACAAATCTATCCATCTTTCTTTCTAACAAATCTATCCATCTTTCTTTCTAACAAATCTATCCATCTTTCTTTCTAACTAATCTATCCATCTTTCTTTCTAACAAATCTATCCATCTTTCTTTCTAACTAATCTATCCATCTTTCTTTCTAACTAATCTATCCATCTTTCTTTCTAACTATCTATCCATCTTTCTTTCTAACTAATCTATCCATCTTTCTTTCTAACAAATCTATCCATCTTTCTTTCTAACTAATCTATCCATCTTTCTTTCTAACTAATCTATCCATCTTTCTTTCTAACTAATCTATCCATTCTTTCTTTCTAACTAATCTATCCATCTTTCTTTCTACCTAATCTATCCATCTTTCTTTTCTAACTAATCTATCCATCTTTCTTTCTAACAAATCTATCCATCTTTCTTTCTAACAAATCTATCCATCTTTCTTTCTAACTAATCTATCCATCTTTCTTTCTACCTAATCTATCCATCTTTCTTTCTAACTAATCTATCCATCTTTCTTTCTAACAAATCTATCCATCTTTCTTTCTAACAAATCTATCTATCTTTCTTTCTAACTAATCTATCCATCTTTCTTTCTAACAAATCTATCCATCTTTCTTTCTAACTAATCTATCCATCTTTCTTTCTAACAAATCTATCCATCTTTCTTTCTACCTAATCTATCTATCTTTCTTTCTAACTAATCTATCCATCTTTCTTTCTAACAAATCTATCCATCTTTCTTTCTAACTAACTAATCTATCTATCTTTCTTTCTAACTAATCTATCCATCTTTCTTTCTAACAAATCTATCCATCTTTCTTTCTAACTAATCTATCCATCTTTCTTTCTAACAAATCTATCCATCTTTCTTTCTAACTAATCTATCCATCTTTCTTTCTAACTAATCTATCCATCTTCTTTCTACCTAATCTATCCATCTTTCTTTCTAACTAATCTATCCATCTTTCTTTCTAACAAATCTATCCATCTTTCTTTCTACCTAATCTATCCATCTTTCTTTCTAACTAATCTATCCATCTTTCTTTCTAACTAATCTATCCATCTTTCTTTCTACCTAATCTATCCATCTTTCTTTCTAACTAATCTATCCATCTTTCTTTCTAACTAATCTATCCATCTTTCTTTCTAACTAATCTATCCATCTTTCTTTCTAACTAATCTATCCATCTTTCTTTCTAACAAATCTATTCATCTTTCTTTCTACCTAA